ATGAGCATAACAAAAAATAACAAATATCATTTGATTTTTTTTTTTCCCAGGGGGTATGAACAGGATGCTCAAATCAGCCAACATGCAAAGAAAAAAAATATAGGATTATAAGGGGAAAAAGTAACGCTAACTGCTAACTATAGCATAATATTTCAAATATTTTAAACACACTAGTTTTTTCATATATTTACAGCCAAAAACTGCATTTCACTAGTCCACTAGTCTATAAATTGACGGCATGCATGTTATCTATTTATGATAGACATTAAATCAACGTGGATAAAGATTATTTTACATTTATTTTTGAATTCATAAATTTAAAAAACTAAGTTGTGTAAAATTATAATTAAAATAATAAAAAGAGAAAAGCTTTAAACTGATTGAAATTCAGCTCACTTCATTATTTGCTGGGTTGTTTGAGGCAGAGTGAAAAACTCTTAAAATTTCATGTTCAATATTTACTTTTTGAACTAACACTTATATTTAAATTACCTACTAATACAGAGTACAGACACCTTTAGAGTAAATAATTCAAGAAAAAAACTTGCTTCTTACAAGAATCGTAACACTGGATTTTAAAATTGCGTGAATATGAATCACGATATAGGATTTTAAAAAAGAGAAAATACAAATTGCCATCACGAATTTTTAAATCGTGCAAATACGAATCACTGTGCATAATTATAAGATCGTGTAAATACGAGTCGCAATGCATCTTTTTTAAATAATGTACAAATGCGAAGATTGATGTTTGATATTACAAACACGTGAATACGAGTCGCAATATTGGATTTTAAAAACGTGTTAATACAAATCACGGTACTCTGCAATATTCGGGTAAAAACCGCATGCCCTGCTTTTAGATCTGGGAGAATGATGCGAAAAAACAGGAATGCCAGGGTAGCCCCGGAATACAATCACCCAGCATACTCAAAAGCAGATTTTTTAAAAATCTATCTTCATTAAAGAAATTTTTTTTATTTAAAATACTAATTAAACCAGTGGACCAGGAGAAAGTGCTAAGATCCAGTAGTCTATTGGAAAAACCGGTAGAGTTAGCAGCTATGGTACACTGATTTGAGTAAAATATACAGAAAAATGTTGCTTAAAATAAAATGTAAAATTCTTTCTGCATTTGCCAAAAACAAATAATAAAATGCAATTTTAACAAACCTGAATTGTATACTTGCACTGAGCCAGGGTATTCCACAATTTGATGGTTTTATCTCTAGAGCCAGATACAATCTGTCTGTTATCTGCAGAAAAAGCAACACTCAATACATCCTTTTGATGGTCTTGAAATCTTCGGGTAGTCTTACCACTGTTTCATAAAAGAAAAAAAAAATTTAGAAAAGTTTTAGACTAACAGCAAACAATGCTTTAATCATTATTGCATTACAATAAGTAAAAATTACTTTAAACAACTCAAAAATTATCCAGCCACACTGAATTTATTGTACATGTTCGCTGACCAACACAAAAATCACCAAGAAAAAGTTGAGTCAAAATTGTGGTTTAAGTTTAAAAATGGTAAACATAAATAAAATTTGCAGTTACAAATATTTGGTAATTATATTTTAGATGATTTATTTATAATGAATTGCTCAGAGAAGAAAAAATTCACAGAAAAATGTGATACAAGATAGCAGTTGACTTTCTTACTGACATATAGAATGTAAGTTACTATTTTTATTATTATTTTAAGAAGCAATAAACGCATTTACTTTTTTTAGGTTTGCATTTTACAAATATATCACATGATATTTCGCTTAACAAAATTACAGTATTTTATACTTTTAACAATTTCTTTAAATTAATAAAAAATGAAAGGAATTTTCTGGAACTATGAATTTTTGATTTCAGTTCCTGCTTTGAGTTATAAAAGTTTAATTGTATACAAATAGTGTAACTGCAGCCAGGATGCTAGATTTTTATGAAATAAAATACAATAGCTTGAATATACTCTTGTTAAAATAGCTTAAATATACTTGTTAAAAAAGAAACAAGCATTGTGAACATTGACCAGAGACATAAAATATTTATGACCAGGGTTGGAGTTTTTGCCGGCAAAAGTTTTAAACTACTAAAATGATATATTATGGAATAATAATTTTGTTAATTTTTTTGTAATTATTAATATTCATAGTATATATTTCAATTTTAGGAATAATTTTGTATCGAAAATGTGTTTTTGTTGTCCTCTCATCTTGGAAAATATAGGTTTTTGCCACTTTTTGCCAATTTGCTTGGCAAAAACCTGTTTTTGCCAGGACGGTTTTTACCGGTATTTACCATGGTTTTTTCCACCTGTGGCAAAATCTTGCCAACCCTGTTTATGACATTTACGAGAAAATGTTTTAGATCTGATTCATGAACTCAAACAATTGCAAAACAAGTCATCATTTTGCACAAAATTACAGGATAAGAATTCTTAAAAAAAATTAACAGAAAAGCAAAATCTGATTTATTAAATTAGTATGATATAAATATGTTACTGGTAATAAATATATATTAGAATATAAATTTTTGAAGTTTCTAAGTTTTTTAAATTAAAAAAAAGTTTAGAAAAAGTGTATCAAAATCCTTTCTTTTAAATAAATATTAAATAAAAATAAAAACACTTATAGAAATAATCTTCATTTACTCATTTAGAATAATTACTGAATAAAATTACAGGGTTCATGCTCTACTATAAAAATAAAATTCAAGTACTTTTCAAGGACTTTTTAAGACTTATTATAAAATTCTCAAGGACTTAAATTTTAGTTAAAGATAGACTAAAATTTAACATTCTAAACTAAAATGTTTTGACGATAAATGTTAGTCGATAATAGCAGTACTGAAAAATAAGACTTCCATTGCTCTCTCTAGATTTCGGAAAGTGATCTAAGTACATATATATAAAAACAAAAAAACAAGGGTGATTGGCATCAAGTCGAGAATAAAATTCATGATGCATGAAAACGTCAGGTTTGAATTTTGCATTAAGGCTTATTTTAAGCTAGGTATACTAAGTCTGAATAAGCAAAGATTCGGGCAGAAGACGGGGTAGGGGGGAATGTTCTATATAATACTGTGATATCAATAAGAAATTTAAAAACAACTCTGACGGGAGACTTTTATTTAATATTTAAAGTGGCAGAAGCATTTAGACAGTGAAATTTAAATTGTTCTTAAATATAATTTTGAAATTTCGACCACTTTTCTATTTAAGAAAATTAATCAATTATTGGATGTTGCGGCTTGATTATCATTTTAAATTTATTACCAGTCAACCATTTTAAATTGAAACAGTTGCCAACTTTCACCTCAATACCTTCTGATAGATTCTTAGTAACAATTTTGGTCACTGACTTTTTTAATTAACCACTCATACTTGAATTAACTTTTTTTCAGTAGCATCGATCATACGCACTTGACATGGTCACGTGAATATGAATTGCAACGAGTAGTTTTCAAATCGAGTATAAATACGAAAATCGATGTTTGANTTGTAATGACTATATTCCATACAAATAATCACACCAGATTTTCATAATAATAAACTTAACTTTATTAAAAATTAAAAGAAACTAGTCATTATTTTTATATTCAAGCATCCAGCTCTTTAACAACCAAGGGAGAACCTCTCCCGACCAAGATAAACATACCTCTACCTCGATTCCTAGCATGCCCCCGAAGGGGTGACACAATGCGCCAAGTGCGCCTGAACGATCGCCAAACAGTTGCCAAACATTACACACTCATTGGTTTTATTCATGGTGAAATTTTTACCCAAGTGGAAAAATCACATCCATTTGAAGTTTTACAGATATTAAATTCTATTTTAAAGCAAGATGATATGCATACTATACTGTCAAATCATAGCTTTAAACCATGAGAGTATGTCACAAAATGGTGGATTTATTATTTTCCTTGACGAAAGTATTCAAAAATTATGCTTAAATAATTCAATAAATTTGCTTTCATTACAGCCCAGCTACTGGCAGTATCGAAGAAAAAACAAATTTGATATACCAAACAAAAATAAATAACTCATTCATTCCCATGACTTTAAATCAAAAATAAAACTCCACAAATAAGACAAGGCAATAAAATGTACTAGAAATGCATTTACAATACATATATAGCATTTACTATATCATCACACTATCTGATTTTTATTAACTTTCAGGGCAAATATTAAGTTTTTTTAAGTCAATTTTTAGTAACTTCTGACTTTGGCAAGTTTTATAGGTAGTGCATATTTTGAAGATTATACTCAAGAAATAAAAAAGGATAAAATTTCTCACTTGCAAAAATTCTCATACAAATTAATTTTAAATTATCCTTAACTTGCAGGGTCAATTCCATGAAGTTGGATGTAAAAAACGAACTAAATTTTGCAACTGATCTTAAAAAATTAAATATACTAAAAGATTTTGTCAAAAGAAAAAAAATACCCTCATAGCATCAAAACGAACTTGTACGATGAATGTTTTCAGCCCACTGACTGGAAGACAAAAAAGTAAATCCCCTAGTTTTATAAACAGGAACAAATATCCTACTCACTATCACGTTCTTTGAATTTTTGTGAATTACATAGTTTTATGGTCCCTGAAGAGGTCAAAAGTAGCAACCATGGATGAGATTCAAGCTAGAGTGAATTGGAAAAAAAAAAGAATTTTGGCATGCTGTAGTGTGGAAAAACAGACACCCAACGCACAGGCACAAAAATGCCTAAGGCCAGGGATGTGATTGACAAAAACACAAAAAAGAGGAAGTTTATAACTGTAGCATTAAATGTGCAAAAGAAAAAATGATATGAATTCAGTAGCCAATCTGATAATGATTACATTATTAAGTCAAAAACCCAACCCTGCATATAATACAGTTTTTACAATAACATACAATTGACTTGGATCTTAAGATAAAAATTACCTTTCCACCTGAAGCACACAGAGAACCATCAGGAGATACAGTCACCGTATTCAAGTAGCCATGGTGGCCAATATGGTTTGTTTTTAGACGGCAGTTAGTCAGATTCCACACCTTAAAAACAAATTGTCACAAATTTAAAAACAAAACTTAAAACCGAAATCATTTGAAATACTAAATGAGAAATGATTGAGGCACAAAAGAAGCATTTTTAAGAAGCTCACTTTAACATAACGATCCCAGCCACAGGAAACAATAATTGGATTGTTGTTGTTGGGTGAAAATCGCACACATGATACCCAGTCAGAGTGTCCATCTTCCTGTAATAATAAGTGATAAACTTAGTTAAAACTGTAAATATTTAAACAGCAATACATACAACAAAAGACAAAAATTTCTGTAGTAGAAAAGTGAAATATAACTAAAAACGTAATAATATAACGTGAAATATAACTAGCAGCCAAATACACAAAAAAAGAGATCTCCAGGGAAGAAAGCATGAATACAAGCCTATCACGAAGCCCCCCGATAAGCCTAGAAAGTGACACATTATGCAAAGAGGTTCTCCCAAGAAGCACCAAGATATTGCTAGCTTGCTCGGTAAAAAGTCGTTCATTGATTTTCAGTTTTTTGTTTTTCAGGATAGCAGGAGAATCAGTAGGGGCTAAGAGATATATGCCGGTTTAGCGAGGTTACTGCTTTTCTATTTTCCCATAATCCACAATGGCTAAGAATCGAATGCAGAACTATTTCTTTTTTAGTAGATAATAGTGTGTTGATGCTTTTACAAATAAATTCAATAGTAGAGCCAAAAAAGCTGAAAATCACTCTGTAATGACTATATTCCATACAAATAAT